TACCTAAAGAAAAAACCCAACATTAGTAGTAATCAAAAAATGTTATACAAGGCCAAGAGTATTCACCAGCATACCTTGTGTAATCTGATGTTTGTGGTGCTGGTACCAATGGTTTTCAGGAACAAAAGAAAAAAAAAAAGAAAACGAGAAAAACAATGTAACTTTGAACTTAGATCAAGAATGGAATTGCAGAGATAATCTACGTGACGGGTTTAAGCAATTGGCGGAAGTACTCAGCCTGGTAAGAAGAAGAAAGGGGAAAAGGATTAATTAACCAGAAAATAACAAGAAAATGAATCAACTACTTTAGATTTCAACAAACCTGGCAATTCTGCAATGGTTGAAAGCATGCGATAACTCTAACTATAATGGTTGCTCGTCCAGGAATCCCACTCTCATGTTTTAAAGCCTTAAATTTTGTCTGACTTGCCGATTGGCACACCATAACTTCTTTCTATCTTGGGATCAACTTATAAATGGATCCAACCGTGGTGTTTCTTTGAAGCAAAAAAGGAGAAAATAAGGGTATGGATATTTGAACCTAAGCTGGGAATAGCTAAAAACTGAAATTGGATTCAGAAGGTATACAAATTTAGCTAATCATAATACAGATGTAACAAGCAGAGAAGCAAAGGCGATGGGCATCCATGGATGATTGATTGGATAGTTAGTAAGAAGACTTTCTGTTTAAGGTAATCTCAAGGAATAAATGAGAGCTCTTTACAAAATGACCCTGCAATACAAGTTCAAGGAGATAACGTAGTAAAACACATGAATTGGAAGGCACAGCCACCACATGTTTTTTACTGAATTAACACCATACACAGCTCTTTAACCCCTTCTTAGTTATACCAATCTAAGCTTTTCCTGGAAAATTTACAAAAAAGAACAGATGTATTAGTGTTTACAGAACTTGGCAATGAAATTAGCAAGACTCACATAAAAGAATGGGGGGAAATTAACATTAAAGTTTCAAATTTGGGTAATTATAAAGTAGGTAGTGTTAGCTCACTTAGCTGAGCCTTTTTGTTATTCATATATTTCAATCCAACCAAATAAGAAGCATATAGATCATATCATACCAAAAAATTGAGGCAAGACCATACTAGACCAAAAAGATTCAAACCAGACCAGATGCTATTATTCATAGTAGACAGGACCAAAAACACCGAGTCACTGAGATAAGGTCAAACCAAATAAAAAAATATTCAAACTACACTAAGAAGATTTAAATCATTTATGATAATGCTAATTCGTACATGAAATTAGACACTACCGAAAACAATTAGATTGATCAAACCAAACAGAAAGAGATAGAATATACCAAATCACACCATACTAGAAAGATTCAGAGAAAATCGGCCTAGAAAATACCATATATTTAAAATTTCAGATCAAACTTATCAGTCAAGGAGAACAGTTATATAGTAGCCCCAACTTAATAATGGTTTACATTTAAATGCCCCACTACTTGGTTAATTGCCTCACCAATTACATAAATGTCAAAGCTTCAGTACTCTTGGGAGCTAAGTGTACATTTTGTTAAGCAGGTAAGCTCGAAACTCAAGTGTGACTTTCCCATTAGGAGAATTTTTTATTAAAAAAAAATAGAGTTTGACTGCGAAAATGCCTTCCTAGGGAACAATCAAACGTGTTCTTAACTTTTTCTCATCAGCATCAAATTAGCTGGCCTTTCAAAAAATTCAGAAAAAATAATAAACCAGAGCACTCAGATTTTTTGCAGACACTATAAAAGGATAGAATCACAAACAAGAAAAAGCATAAATGAACTTCCAAACATAGCTTCAATTTTATTCAATATTTGTACTAAATAGGTGCCATGGGTGTGCTTCATTTAGCTTGGAAACGGTGTAAAATTCATCAATTTTATAGCTTACCTCAGAAACACAAACGATTTTCTGATAAAATCAGATAAAGATCCATAATCAGCATCAATCGCATAGAAAAGATATTTAACTTATTTTCTGTATAAAAGAAGCAGATTGGTCAGATGAACTTACAGAGAAGGATCTTGAAGAAAGACTGACAAACGTGCTTGGGGGGATGGAGAAGGAGGTTGGATGCCTGTAGGGTTGGTTATTTGCCTATTATTGGCCAGTAGAGAGGAAAGTATATAAAATGGGAAGTTGGTGGAGGGCAAGGGTCTGTTTGGTTCTCGTTTGTAAGGTCCTCATAATTTTAGTAACACTTACAGACCGTTACAACATTGTTTTTGGGCTTACGAGGCTTATCAGCCAACTTTTTCATCAAATATGTAACTTTTGCAGAATTGTGTAATAAGCAGAAAAAGTAAAGTTGAAGTTAATTTCTGCCTGTATTGGCTGAAGTTACTCTAAATGATCATTTTAGCTATTTTTACATATATTTTTTCTTTATTTTATTAATAAAATATATTTTAAAAAAAATCTTATATTAGCAAGATCAGCCAATGCAGACACTTCAGCCAGAACTTCATAAATTTCAACAGAATCAGTCAAATTAGCCGATTTTCGTGCTACCAAATGGGCTCTTAAATTGGGTGAATCGGCTAATTCTGCTGAAATTTATGAATTTCTGACAGAATTGACTGGATTGTTTGATTCTGGTGATTTGTGAAAAAATTATTTTTAAAATATTTTTTATTAATAAAATAAAGGAAATATATATATATATGAAAAATAGCGGAAATGATCATCTACAGTAACTTCAATCAATACAACCATAATAGTAACCTCAACCTTACGTTTTCTTATTATTACGCAATTCAGCGCGCTAAATCATAATTTACGTATTTGATGAAAAAGTTGGTTGATGAGTTCGATAAGAAGAAAAATAGGTTCACCAAACGGACTCTTGATTTTTTTATTGTTTTCTATCAAAGCAATTCCACGTGTGTTTTTGTTCGGCACTTATAATTCGATTTAATAATTTAAAATGTTGTTGCAAAAAAAATATTACTCATATTTCTTATGAGTGTTTTTTACAATTTTTATTTTTATAATTTTTATTATTCATTGTTATTGTTTGAAAAAAAACTGCTTTTCTACGCAGATCAATTTACTGCCTATTTATTCTACAATTTTAAATTACAATGTCAAATTCTAAGAAGCCTCAAATATTATTGGAAGAAGAATATTGGAATTTGGAAGAGAATATTTTGAAACTTTTGGAAAAAGCAAAGCAAAACAAAAGAGAGAAGAGATGAAATTTTGCACTAAAGGAATGGTTAGTGGGCGCAAGCCCTCTATGGCGCTATGATTGACTCCGTGCCTACTTCGGCACTCCATTGCATTAGGCAAAAGTAACACTATTATCCATTCTTAATCTTAATTAAACTACCTTTGACAGTTTGACTAACTACATTTATCTTTACTTTATCGCCCAAGAGCTTTTACACATGGTATAACTAATAAATAAATACTCCATAAATATTAAGGATGAAGAATCACTTCGTCTTGCTTTAAATTTCAGCAGAATTTAAAAGATATAATGAGAACAACTTAAGAGGTGTTTGGATGTACTTTCTACTTACTAGGTGTTTGGATGTACTTTTTAACACGGCTTCTGCTTTTTTAGGGAACAAAAGCACATATTGGTGTATTTGGATGAAAGTGCAAAAGTATTTATGGATGCTACAAATTGCTAATAAAAAGCAATTGTTTAGAAGTTTGAGAAGATTATCTTCCTAAAAAATGATTCTGATTCTGCTTTGAAAAAGAAACAGAAGTAAAATCAATTTCAAAACCCTTAAATTACTTTAAGCGGAGAGTATAAAAGTTTTTAGTGAAAATAACTAGCAATGTCAAACCAAATAGAGGATACATCATTGAATTTAATGTTTGATCAAATAAAAACCAAACCAAAATGCTCAAAAAAAATTACAACTTGAAAGAAAACCAAATTGAGCCTAAGACAATCTAAAATGTTTTTGCTTGGATTTAAATTGTACATACGCATACAATGATTAGTCCAGACTGACGTCCGGTGTACATGAATAGTATATCTGATGGATTGGACTTTAGTGTTCATGAATACCTCATGAACACTGGACGTTAGTCTGGATTAGTCCAGGCTGACTGAACGTTCTAGTCATGCCTTATCTGATCTGGTATGGTCCGAACTTTTCTGGTAAGGATGTTTTCTTTTGGACTGAAATTTGCTAGTCTAGTCTGGTCTAGTCTGAACTGGTTTGATCTGATCTGATAAACGTTTGTTCTCTGTGTATTTTATAACTACGGAAGTCTGGTCTGATCTGGGACTGGAAGCAATCCAAAAGAAAACATCATATATGTCTGGTCTTTATATATTTTATAACTATTCAGGTCTAATCCTGTCTGATATGAGCGGTAAAACAATCCAAGTACAAACATTCCTAATGAACCAATATTATGGTCGAACATAATATGGATTCCGAACCGGAACCATTTTTACATTGTTTAATTTAGTTTTGTAGGAAACCGAGTTGGTTGGCAATTCCGGAACGAACTGAACTCAGAACCAGATTGATATACCAAGATCACAACCGAACCCAAACCCAATCTGCATATATCCACACTATTAGTAAGATTGTTTGGGTGAATAAGTGAATTATCGGAGCAAACTTATTTCAGCCAAATGAACAAGTCACAGGAACTTGTACGGTTGTACCATTCCAACCAATGAACCTATTAATGCTACCAAACAGAGCCTAAAATTGCTTTCCGTTCAGTAATCATTTCCACCACTCTTTTTTAGCAGCAAACACATGAAAACCCAAACGGGATCCGGAATGCTCACCCGTGGACATATTAGTAAATAATGCCCAACTCTACAAGTCATTTTCACTAATGGGATCATTAAAGAAACCTTGAAAATAAGTACCACCAACTTGTTAACCTTCGACCACTCGTGCAGTCGTGCTGCAACAACAGTAACAAGTATGATTAATCCCCATTTCCAGTTACAAAGCATGCCTAACCAACCAACCAACATATGATACACACAATATTCATCCATTAATCATAACCGCAACATAGCTTAATTATGAATTATACCCAACCCAAGTAAACACGTGTATGATAATTGATAAACTCCCATTTATGCAGGAAGTTTCTGTCTTAACAAAGGTAATTTATGATAGAGCATGAAGAAAAGGTGGCAGTCAGATTTGCATTGTACATGATAATAAAGAGTAAAGAGTGAAGAAGGTGATGAGATTTTCAACTGCTAGGATTATTCAACACGCAGGACTTCAATCTCAAAGTTGAGATGCGAATTGGGCTGTATACCCCAAGCTGGAAATCCCCCAGCACCATAGGCATAGTCGGGAGTGCACTGCATATTATATCAGCAAAATCCAATCCAGGTGAGGTCTCAAATGCAGTAAAGCAAAAAAACGTCATTTATCCAAGAAATATATGATTAAAATAAAGATAGTCGACAAAGAATGTGACCATTCATACATATTGACCATTATAGTAACTTATAATGACTAGCATTGTGTTCACGTTTACACCATCAAGAATACTCAATAACTGTAGTCACTTTTGTCCGTAAGTTTTATTTCAATACTATTTTATGAAAAACCTATTTATTCAATCGACTAAGAAGGTCAGGACAAAGGTAACTAAGGTGACTATTTTTCGGCTTATCAGGCTTGTCAACCAATTTTTTTAACCAAACACGTAACTTTTGATTTCGCGCGCTGGGTTGTGTAATAATAAGAAAAAGTAAGTTTGAAGTTACTTTTCTAGCATTATTGGCTGAAATTACTGTAGATGGTCATTTTAGCTATTTTTTCATATATACGAAGTATATTTCTTTATTTTATTAATAAAATACTCCCTCTGTGCCGCTAAGATTGTCCCTGACACTATTCACTTGGTCAACAGAAATCATTCTTAATCCCGTACTTTATATATCAAATTTTTATAAAATTTGATTATGGTTTTTGCGACTTTGTAAAGTTTTTAATGTAGTTTCTGAATATGTAATTCTTTTTTTCTAAAAATAATTTGAGTGTGGACAGGGGTCTATTTGCTTTATCGTCGGTCAAACATCGTAAACCGAATTGTCCCAAACATAGTGGGACGGAGGTAGTATATTTTAAATATAATTTATTCAAAAATCAGTAGAATCAACCAATACAACCATTTCAGCCAAAACTTCATAAATTTCAGCAGAATAAGCCGATTTAACCGATTTAAGTGATGCCAAAAAGGCTCCAAGTAATTACCTTTAACAAAGCTAATTCTCCTACTTGCATGTCCAAGACACCTTCATCCCACCCTGCAAATATAATAAGTCTTAGCAACAACAGGATATATGATGAAAATCAGCGAATAAAGTATTTATATACTTTTTTAGTTAAAAACTCTACAAAAATCATTAAAACTCTTTGCCCAATAGAACCCTTCACAATATCCTATGTAATAACTGCCAGATAAATTTATGATCTTCAACAATTTCCTGTAATATATGCATATAATCCATTCCTATGTATGTCAGATAAATTTGTGTCTAGTATTTGAGAAAAAAACGGAATCTAGGATCTCAAAATTGTACCTACCACCTTACATTAATTATAACATCTAAGATTATAATTTCAAGTTATCAAAAAGAAAGGAGCGAAGTTTTAAAAATAATTTAATGACATTATTCTAGATCGCAGGCATAACGATTATTTAAATATATCAATTTGAAAATTGAAGGTTCAGTTTGTGAATTTATAGGCATTATTATAAGTATTTCAAGAGTTGAACTAATCTTTATAAATTTAAAATAGGGAAATTATCATTGACCCCCTTGAGGTTTGATGCATTATCAATCACACCCCTATACTATCAAAAATATACTCTTACCCCCCTCTATATCCTTTAATGATGGTTAAATAACTATTAATCTACATTTAGAGAAAATTATGAATATAATTTCATAATTTTTCTTTGAATCTGCTTTTAATATTGTAATTATATTCAATCACAAATCTGGTCAGGTAATTAATAAATTTGTCCATATTAAAGACCTTTCTATCGGAAGTCGAACCAAAATAAAAAAAATGACCAAAACTGACCTCACTCTAGGTAGTTCGTTTTATGCATTTGAATTTGTAAAGTGAGTAAATTTACTCAATTAAAAATGATCAAAATATGCTAAATTTGACAAAAACTGAAACAAATCAACCTAAATAAACCAAACCGACTCAAAAGTAAAGTTTACTACTCGATTTTACCATTAAAAATTGAATGCAAGAAAATTCCCAATTTAAACACTCTTTGTTATCACTGAAAATGAGATCACTATAGGTATAATAATAACTTGTAGATTTAAATATTTGATAAAATATGAACATGTTTACATGTAAAATACTAGTAAAGATATTCTAATTTAGGATGAGTTCCACACCCAATAGTAAGTATTGGGCATCTTTCCCTCGTTACAAAAGTTTTACCAAAATTTCTTCAATCTCAGATATATTTTCAAACTTTTAAAAGTAATAGCGATTTATTGTTTTAAGCTTATACCTTTCGATTGTGTCTGCTACTAGTCCTATAATTTTACTCACATGTAATTGTATTTATGTACCTAATAAATTTGTCAATAATAAGGGCTATTTCATCATAAAGTATGCGTTCCCGTAACAAAAGTATGTTATGGTGGAAAGATTCTTAATACAAAAAAAATTATTAATAATCAAATTAAATCTACTAGTGAGTAAATTTATAAAAACTAAATTCATACTTTTGATAAACGTAATTAGGAGTTAATAAACTTTCATTAAAGGATATAGAGGGGGTAAGTGCATATTTTCAATAGTGCAGGGGTCTAAATGATAATACATGAAACCTCAAGGGAGGTCAATGATAATTTCCCTTTAAAATAATCAGTTAATTATAGATTAGAATGATTAAAAGTGAACTATTAATGAATAAATTTAATTTAAAAAAATCAATTTTGTTGTGTTATAAGTAAGAAAAATCAATTTACAAATAACAAGTTCTTCATTACACTGTACGATATTAATACAGTATTTTTTTTAAGTCATGTGGATCTTTCTTAAGAGGTTAAACTGCTTTGGGACAAATAGTTCACCAAGCCTCTCAGTCCAATCCAAATTGTATAACATTGAGGGTGTACAAATGGATTAAACACGTCCTAAACAAGTTTATTTCAGCAATTTTTGTTGTTTTAAAGTAAAATGATGAAAATTCCAGTGGGGGCAAACACTTCAACATTTTTTTTTGTGTTTTGAAGTAAATTGTTGCATAAAAAAGAAAAGAAAAGAGCTTTGGTAATGATGCAGACCTATTCTATTGATTACAAGTTCGAAAACTATTTTGCTGATAAGAAACTAACTACGCAGAGAGGTCTGTAGAGTCAAAAGTGATAGAATTGCTTTTCCCTATACAACTTTTGTTTGCTGAAACTTTACAAAAATGGTCCAATATTATACAGTGCAAATGAACCTACTGGAACCATAGCATTTCTGGAGATGACGCAGTAAACTAAGGGACGGAATGGGGTTCAAGATGAATTTGATTTGTATTTTTACACTACCGAAACAACAAGATAAAAATTTCAGCATGAAAATATCTTTAAATGATTTCATTGAATGCCACAGTTTCAAATACTTTTTAAAAGTATTGATTGGATTTTTCCAAAAAAAAAAGTATTGATTGGATAACATCGTAACCCTAAACCCTTTGAAAATATTTAATTGATACACCAAACGGCATGTTCAAACATTAATTCAAAAGGTATATCTACACAGCTAAGTGTCCTTTTAAAGCATATAAAAGAATAGACTCATAAATAAATTCTAATCACTAATTTTAAAATAAACTAAGATTTTCAGCTTATAGAAATAACGTTATTAATGAGTTTATTAGTTAGCTACATTATGACTCATGCCGCTTCTAATTGTTTTTGTAAAAATAATTATAAAAACTTCCTTACCTCAATTGCCCTATTGCCACCTCTACTCCTCTAGGCTCAATGACCTGTGAAATGAATGTGTCGAAAAGTAATACTCCCTTCATTCTGCGATGTTCTTTCCCTTACTTTTTACAGTTTTTAGGAAGTAAAATGGTGTGGTTGAGATTTATTTGGAAAGATAGAATCAATGCATTCGACATAATTCTTTCCTTATGAAAATATGAGAACTCTTTGGGACGGATCAAAAGGAAGAAGAAAGAATATTTTGGGACAAACTAACTAACTAAATATGGACTTCAGCAATGGATAAAGGTTGGCTTCGGAGGATGCCCTGTTAAAAGATGAAAATACTTTACCAATACTAATCCCTGTTTCCTAAAATGCATAAATGTATAAAAAGAGAAAAAGCACAGAAAGGTATACAAAACATTAAAGTATTGAACAACTAAAAACATATACTGAAGTATTAAGACCATTTCATCTCACATCATAATAATTGGACATGCCATATTTACTTGAGTTTTTTAACTAAAATAAACCATTAATTAAAGAAAGAAAATTAAGAATTGGTCTTAATAGTTTCACATTTTAAGGTACATGATCAAAACTTTCATACTTCAAGCAAAAAGATTAAATTCAACAACATGCTTAAACGTACCTTTGATAACTTGTCCCTGACCAATTTGAAAAGTAAAAGGCTTTTGCCCAGGATCTTTTGTGCTGTTGCAAATCATAGTCCGAAGTATTAGTAGCGAAACAATGCCACGAAACATGCAAAGATCTCACATTTTTTATAAGCCTTGCATTTTTAAAGGGAAAACTCTGCCGAGGCTCTGAAATTCAAATTTCTGTTCACTTAGACTTACCTCCAGAATTTCTGAGAAAGATCTCCATTTTTGCCTGCAAAATGGAAAAAATAAGCTACTAATAAGAATGTGGAGATTTATTTTGTACAGGAAAAGCATCTAGTCTAGATTAGATATGCCAAAGATGCTGGTAATGGTTAAGAGCCGAAGTATTAACCGTAGCCGGTGCAGTGGACGGTGACGGTCTGACCACGAACTGGCTTGGGACCGGTACCTGCCCTCACAAGTTCCTTCTCGACTCCCATTTCGTCGGTGATTTGAATGATCTTCCGATTAGGGTTTCGGTGTGAAAAATGCCGCTTGTATGTAACGGCTCGGCGGCAGTAGATAACTGATAAATGTTTTACGGAGTACAAGGCTACAAAGGTGTTTACTGTCCAGTAATCCAGTACACGTAATAGGAATACTCTAGACCTCATATTTCATTCCAAAATACTCATCCTTCCCAAAATGGTTGGCAAATTTCCTATTTTGACCGTTCCGAAAAGGTTTATCATTTCCATTTAAAATATGGAATATGTGTCTAATGTTAGTTCTCTCTCCTCTGCGCAAATTTTAATCACACAGTTTTTACTTTATTAATCCACGTGCAAAGTCAATATTGGTCAACGATTTTGGGACGGGGGGAGTATATACTAGAGGATATAAATGTTATTTATTTTAGAAAAGTAAGACAGATAACATGAGATTTAGATATCTTACTTCAGGAAACAATTGCCCACATGAATTGAATCGTCACCAAAAAATTTACCCTAACCGAGAGCTGAGGGTGTTTTCTTCGCCGTCTGCGTGCGGCGCGAGTCGAGGGTGAAGGTCGGAGCAGCGGTCTTGTGGAGCGATGGAGAATACTGAAGGCGAGGGGTGCAGGACGAGCTGTGACCAGGAGCTTCCACGCCCGAGTGGGTTCGGCAGTTTGCTATTTAGCGAGCGGCGTCGAGATGGGCTTCAACAACCACGACGAAGGGCTGATGGCGAACCAGGGGCTGGGATGGAAGCCGCCGGTGATGAAGGGAGCAGTGGGCTTCGAGAACAGGAGAAAGGACATGTTGGGGAGATTGTGGCTAAGTATGGAGGCTTGGGAATTGGGGGTGTGAAGGACGAATCACTGATTGAAGATGATGAAGATGGGGACGGGACAGCAGGGGCAGCGAAGGCAAAGGAATTAACGGTCGTGGGGAAGGTTCTCACGGACAAGGTTATCCGATTTCCGTTCTTCTGAGGATTTATGGCTGAGCTATGGCACCCGGGAAGAGGTATTGTCATACAAGAACTGGGTGAACGAAGGTATCTGTTTAAGTTTTTTCATTCTGTTGATATGAATCGAAACCTGGAAAATGGACCCTGGCTGTTTGAACAAAATTTGCTTGTGTTAAAAGCTGTTAAACCGGGTGACATCCCGTCTAAAATGGTGCTAGATGAATTTGAGATATGGGTACAGGTCCATAATGTGCCGTATGACTTTGAAAATTTGGGTACGGCAAGGAGAATAGGGAACTATCTAGGGGAGTTCATCACATGGGATGAACAAAAATTTAGTAGTAAAAAAGAGGGTTATATGCGTGTGCGGGTTCATATGAACACTAATAGAGCATTAAAGGTTGGAATTACTCAAAGGAAGAGTAAGGGTGAAGGGCACTGGGTAGATTTTAAATACGACAAACTGCCAAACTTCTGTTTCTGCTGTGGCATGATTGGCCATGCTGAGAAATTTTGCCCCTTGCTGTACGAAAAGGAGGGACAAGCTATGACTAAACCATTTGGGTCGTGGCTTCGAGCAAGTGGCAGGGGTTCGGAATCTGAGATGGGAAGCAAGTGGTTAATAACGGAAGGAAGTGTCTCTGGTGATGATATGCGTTTGGCTCAGTTGGTGAAACAAGGGCAGGAGTGGGTCCCGGAGGAGAAGGGGGAGAACACTTTTGCGGGTGCGGGAGAGGGGGTGGTCTCAGGCGAGCCCGAAGAGGAAGGAATGATCGGAGAGCTGAAGAGGAGGCGCACTTGGGAGGCCCAGGCAAGGGAGGCTGCTGGATTGGATGCAATGGCGTTGGACTCTCCAAAAAATGGGGTTGGGGCGGGCGCTGGTCTCCAGCCCCGCCAGAGGACCTGATGCTGGTTACAACTTTTTTAGCTAAAGAACTTTTTTATTCCAGTTATTGCGTTTTATATATTTTCCACGTTCTGGATGTTGTTTTTGTTTTGATGCTGCTGGGGTTTTCCAGCAAGAATACTTTGATAGCTAAAACAGGTACTGATGTGTCGTGTCTACAAGTCATAGGCTCAGGTATGCCCAAAGCAGGATCAACGAATTATATGGCTTCTACGGAGGTGATTAATTCAGAGTCTGGTCCTTGGGCAGACGGTAGACAGGGGACTTGTCGTCACACGGTTACCTGTATTAGTTTGGTCTGTTTGGTCCGTTTTGGTATGATATATTAAGCCAGTTTCGTTAAAAAAAAGATATCTTACTTTAGGATGAGTATTTTTTTCATTATCTTCACGAGGAACAAAATGAATCATCATGCATGTTGAGTGATCGAATCACTATTGGTCAAGTCACAAGACGAGATATGTTCATGTAGATTCTTTTCAAAATTTTCTCGATGTAATTTGATTGATGGATGAACTTTTCATTCTTCAAATTCTCTAATTCAAGCCGTAGACAAAATTGGTTCTTTTAAGATCTTTTATTTTTTAAATATTTCTTTTAAGATCATTCATCACAAATTCTTTTATGAAATATTTTACAGTAGCTTATATTTCATTAGAAGTTTCAATAATGTTTAAATCGTCAACATATGTTGTAGTTATGAGAAACTCAAATTAGATCGACGAATGAAAAAACACATGAAGTGATCAAATCGTTTTTTGTATCCTTATTTGAGAATATATTCACTGAGATGATTGCATCACGTTCGTCTAGACTATTTTAGTCCATACACTAATTTTTGTAATCTTATGGAAAACATTTCTTGAGATTTCAAGCTATTTGCTTTTGACATTTTAATCCACCGGGAACTTTCATAATATATTACCACTAATCAATTAATCGCATTTGTATCCTTTCAAAAACGGTCATGCCAGTTAGAAATTTTAACGTAGTTACATCAACTATCTTTATAATGAATTGATTACATCTGAAAAACCCTTGAACAAAAACTCGGGCTTTATATTTTACAATATCAATCTTCTGATTGCATTTGCGCACAAATCAGATTTAAAATCCACCGGTTTCACGCCTTTTGACGTGAGTACTATTTGTTCAAAAACATCACGTTTAATAAGTGATTTTAATTTTGCTTGAATAATTTAATTCCATTTTGGTCAAGCATGTTTCCTTCGACATTCATATATTGTTATCGCCTCATTATCATTGTTTCCCTTCGTTGCATTTGTGGCAATGTCATATTTTTTTTTAAATCATCAATCCCAGTCATATCCATATCTATATAATAATATAATATAATAAAGCAAACCCTTAGAGGAATGCTTTGAAGAAAGTTTTGACATGTGGCAACATCTTTCATGGGAAATTCACCAAGTGGCAGCTTCATACTAAATTCTACTTCATCTTTCAATATAGCTCCATGCTTTGAGTGAGTTGCATACTATGTACATGACATAAAAATATGTTCACAATATTTTTATGCATTTAATAAAAGAAGATGAAAGGAAAACCTATTCAACTTATAAAATTGAATGTGTACAAATATAAAGGAAACCTTTCTTAGCTTCTTAGGACACGTACATGCTATGAAGTATGTACAGTTGCACACGTGATTTATAAGTATTTTAAAAGATGATGGAAAATTGGTGCAAAATGACACGATCATTTAGACAGTAATTAAATATGCTAATTCGAATATATTTTGAGTTATAATTTTGATAATAATTGAGATGTTATAGATGTATTGTTTTTTAATATTTGATGATTAAATTTTTTATTTAAGAGTGTTAATTATTTTCTAAATTTGAAATAAATACCTTTAAATGGGATGCTGAAATATTCAAGTGTGAACCTTTGAATGGGACATATGAAGTATATATTATACTACGTATGTAGCATAAAATATGAAACCCTCATCAGCATATGATGTCCCCGGCCTTATAAACACATCACGTATTAGCTCTTGCATTAAAGAAAAATTAGCTATTGTTTATCCAAAATGTACTTTAGTATACTACTCGTATCAATAAGTTATATAATACTATATAGGGGGGATATTTAAAATACCCCAAACATGTGTATGTAATTTCAATATCCAGAACTTAATATAAAAAGTTATGTTAGAACCATGAACATATAATTTACAACATAAGTTATGACTATAAATTTTAAGTTAATATATGACTATGATGTTAAAATAACTTTTTATGTAAATTTTGGGGTTATTTACATTACACATGCAAGTTTGGGGTATTAACCTCACACTCCTTCAATAGTATGTCTCCCTATTAGGGGGTGTTTGGATCCGATTCTTAAAACTGCTTCTGCTTCTTCAGGGAGCAGAAGCTGAAGCTGAAGCGTTTGAGTGAAAGTTCAGAAGTGATTCCGATGCTCTAATTTACTCCTAGAATCAGTTTTTATAGAAGCTGGGGGTGACCAGAGGCTTCTGAAAACTAATTCCGATTCTACTTCTGCTTTAAAAAAGAAGTAGAAGCAGAATCAGTTCCAAACACCCCTAGATAATAGTATATTAAATATCTTAAAACACATATGATACTAGGATCTTTACTGTAATTGATATACGAAGAGAGTTTGAGCAAGAGAACAAAAAAGGTATCAAATGGAGTACTTAAAATGCCCTTTCTATGACAATATGTCTATATGACAAATTGTGCCTCAAATGTTTGAGTATTTCCTCCATATTGAAATGTTTGTTATAATAGAATTTGTCACAATAACAACAACAATAATAATAATAGATTATTAATCTAGAGAGAAGGGAGAGCTAGAGAGATAAAGTGATATGTATAAATGATTTTCCAATCCTTTAGATGGTTCCCATAGGGGATATTTATAGGAGAAAAGTAGGTTAGGCTTCCGGGCTTGGGCCTGGCAGACCAGTTACAATAAAAGGCCAACAAATGACTAATAAATGGTATTTAATCTATTTTAATCGGTGTACATGAATAAACAGAGTGTACAATGATGTAAATGCTGTCTGTTGAGCATGTGTGGGCCGCTATCTGAGCCCAATAGTATAGAGACCGGGGGTCCGAGTCCATATACTCAATCAAATAATAACAACAACAACAACAACAACAACAACAACAATATATATTATAATTGTAATAGTAATAATTAGTAATAATAAACGTAATAGATCATATTTGATTTGCTCTGAATGTTTCATGTTTGATGGGAATATTTGTGAGTTGATCTGATCTTTTTATATGATTTACTTGATCTATATCATTCTAATCTAATCGTCTAATATGAACTAAATAAAATTAATAAGCAATAAAATTTAGACAAATATAACAGCGGACAGCCCCTAGATCGCATAGTCTACCACATTAACATGTAAAGGTGGATTCATTCTTTTGTCTAAGTTTTATTAATATCTTTGTCCTAATGTAAGATTCATTTGTCTTCCTCGCATCCTCGACTCAATTGCATATTCATTTCTATTTTTCAACAATAATCTTAACGATTTCTAAAATTCATCTAACGACTCAATCTAATTCATTGAGTTGCACCGGTTATGAGTACGCATACGATTTAGTATCCCTACTATTTTTTCTATATATTTTCATTCATATTTCTTTCATAAGAAACATTGTACAGACTATTTTACCGTGCGATGCGCGGGTACACAAACTAGTTATTAATCAATCAAATCATAAGCCAATTGGCTTACAATAACATGAGGAGCTAAAACATAAACACAATTCGCAACCAGAGCATGGGTAGCACGATTCGCAGACCGTTTACAAAAAGAGACAGAAAAATTCCTCTTTGTTTCCAAGATTTTCCTAATGTCATCAGTAATTAAGTGTAAATATGCCGAACCCTCTCCCTTATGTACTCCTTGAACAACGGCCAAAGCATCAAACTCAAATTCAACCGCATCCCATCCTTTGTCGACTGCTGCCAAAACCGCATCCCGCAGGCCAATTGCTTCCGTCTCAGCAGTTGACCAGGACCCTTCCACCAAAACCCCTCTAGCCTTCACGAACTCTCGTTAGTGTAGTATCATTATCTTTTCATTTCCATTGTGTTTCAATAAAAATCTAAAAACACAGTTTATTGAGATTTCATAATAATCAACGTTTCTATCATTATCTAGACTATCTTCCTCATTTAAACAAGCCGGATCTTCATCTGAGATGCTTATTTTGTAGATGTTTTCTATGTCAATATTTTCAAATCATTTTTATAATAAAGATGAACATTTTCGGCATCACCAAGGATATATGTATTTTATTATTTTCTTTGTCCCAAATCGATTTCCCATTTAAGTATTTTAAGGTTGATTGGAGATGATGTTTAATCAATAAAAGTTACATAATCAAAAGTTACATTGAAAATTCTATCAAGTCACAAAATTTAAATTAAAATATAACATGCTAAATAAGTAATAAAATAAAACCGTGTTAATTCAGAAAAATCGGTTTCGTAAATTATTTTGAGAAAGGATAGTCTCGGAAATGAGCTTACCTAAATATAAAATTGTAAACCATCATTATATATGGACTACTTACATTCGAGTGGGGGAAAGGGTCAAATACGGTCTTCTACTATTACAGAATCGTCACATAAGGTCATGTACTCAATAAAGTGTCATATAAATACGTATACTTATAAAAAACAATCGGATGAGTCAAAACGATCCGTTGACAAAATCGAAATTCCGATTTTAATGTACGTCTGGCTATCTATTTGGAATAGATTACAAGGCCGACATGAAGTATTTGGTCACGATTGACATAAATACATGACAAACATAACGACACGAAGCTAAAATCGGGATTAGGAGGTTGTCAACGAGCCGTTTTGACTCATCCGATTGCTTTTTTATAAGTAGACATATTTATATGACACTTTATTGAGTACATGACCTTATCTAACGATTTTGTAATAGAAGGCCTTAGGCCGTAGTAGTGGTGAGACTATGGAATGGTATTTTATAGCGGTGGAAATGAGTTTACGTAAATGTAAAATTGTAACGAGAAATTTACCCTCCGTATTACTAAAAGTCATTCTCTTTCCCATTCTATGACATATGTTTTTTTCCTAATGTGATGGTACATGTCATCACAGCCATACCATCGGCCCCTTTCTTTATTTTTTCATTCCATTGATGCCCTTATACGGTGGACATATTGAAGAATTAACAGGTTCCTTATTTTATGCAAATTACTACCATAATTATTATGCATTTATTAAGGATCCCAATCAAATAGGTAACTGAATTTTCTGGTTTTAATCTTGCTACTCGTTCCATTCTCTTTTCTGATTATAATCAATTATACCCGTCCTCTAACATCTTTAGACGTCGGTCGCCGTATGTAGCCCCCACACTCTTGAAGAAGTTGCTGGCGGAAGAAGAAGAGTGCAGACACAAGAAGGTCGAAACTTTTGCAGAAGAAGACGTACTTCATCGTAAATTTAGAAAAGAAAAGATGTATTTTCATAGTTTATGCGTTATTTACATTCTATTAGTTGTTTTTTGAAGTCGTAGACGATTATGAATCGCGAGAGGTGTAGATGAAGCAACACACACAATCCTCTGGCGAATAAGAAAATGTAATAAAAATTAATTTACTGCATGTATTTTATAAGTTAAATACTTGCACAACACAATCCACAAAATATAAGTTAAATACGACACTATTCAGTACAGTACATTAATGCAATATAGTAGTGCGCTCAAAGAATGATCAGGAGGAAAAAACGTCGTTTCTTCAGACCTCTGCTTCAATTCTCATCTAGTTTGTGCTCTTTCTATTCCCTATTTTGTTTTTGTGAGAACACGATTATGATTGGTTAAAATGTTAAATCATTCATTAATTTTGTTCCTAAAAACATGGGATTGGTCTTCCATCTTTAATTATGCATTTATGGTAGTTTGGATTCTTTCATATCCTAAAACCCACTATAGGAACGTATGTTAAGGTCAAATTTGTCTTTCAATTCTCCTTAATATTACGGATATAAATGTTTTATTCTCATTAAAGTCATATGTTAGGAAATAAACATACTTGGTCATATTTGGAGAATTGTAATGAGTTTTAGTCATATATAGGTATTTATCCCTATTGTAAACCATCATTATACATTTATACATGGACTACTTACATTCGAGAAATTAAAATGTTTAGAAGGAAGACTTGTTCCTTTTTTTAAATAATGATTATTTACAAAAATGTAACTATTGATTAAAGTCGTAATGAAATAATAGTAATTTATGTTCAATTTAAATTTAATTTTCAATTCGATAAATTTAAACATTATAGTAATTATTAGTCATATTTGTATAAATAGATTTTATTTTAGTAATATTCAAAACTAATTAGCAACCCATTTGGAACATTACTTTTCTTTTTATTTGACAAAACTAATTACCTAACTATCAAATACTAGTATTATATAAAAAGAAAAAATTCTCAAAATATGAATAAAAACGTTTGAAAGTCTAAAATAAGATTGTAATGTGATCTTAATTTTAGTGTTTGAATCTACTTAAAAAAAGTTTGGTCCAATAAATTTCAGTAGTTCCGACTTTTTATAAAAATAACTTTATATACTCGTATATGATTTAATATCAGTCTCATATGAAAGATCACAAAACGCTTTGAATTTAGATTTTTTTTTTTTTAGGAAAAACAGAAAACAAATGAAAAAATTATACTCAATAAAGACTTTTAAAATAAAGGTGTTTTTTGGATTAAAAAAAATGAAATGGTTCTTGAATGAAATGGTTCTCTTCCGTCATTCTATCGAGGATCTGAGCTCAAAAGATATGATTTCCGGGTACATGAATGAAATCTGACCTCAACCTTATATCCAGAATCCGAATCCATTACAAGCAATATTCATGTACCCAGAACCCATATCTCCGCCTCAAACCCGCATAGGATGGATAGGCATTGGCGTGATGGGCGGAGCAATGGCGTCCCGCCTTTTATCCGCCGGCTACACCGTCACTCTCTACGCACGGACGTCCTCAAAGGCGGCCACTCTTCAATCCCAAGGCGCATGTTTAGCAGAATCTCCCGCAGACGTCGCTAGACACAGTGATGTCGTGTTTACCGTCCTGGGACACCCATCAGATGTTCGACAAATTGTCTTAGAGGGACCAGACTCTGTTCTCTCCTCCCTAAATCCGAACACCGTCATCGTGGACCACACCAGCAGTCATCCGGCGCTTGCCAGGAGGATCTCCGACTGCGCGGCTGAGAAGGAATGCTGGGCAGTTGATGCTCCGGTTTCGGGAGGAGATATAGGAGCAAAAGAAGGGAAACTGTCCATTTTTGCCGCTGGAAATGAAGATGTGGTGAAATGGTTGAAGCCATTGTTTGATGTCATGGGGAAGGCGACTTACATGGGTGGTCCAGGAAAGGGACAGAGTTGTAAAATTGCGAATCAGATCAGTGTGGGAGCAAACCTATTAGGGTTGAGTGAAGGTTTGGTTTTTGCAGAGAAGGCGGGGCTGGATAAAGGTGAGTTCTTGGAGGCGATTAGGGGTGGAGCGGCCGGGTCGATGGTCATGGAGTTACTTGGGAAGAGGATGATTGAGAAGGACTATAGGGCTGGTGGTTTTGCAGAGTACATGGTGAAGGACATGGGAATGGGTGTGGATGTTGGGGAGGAGGAAATGGTGGTGGTCTTGCCTGGTGCTGCATTAGGAAAACAACTTTTTTCAGGAATGGTGGCTAATGGGGATGGAAAGCTTGGAATTCAAGGACTTATCACTGTCATAGAAAGGCTTAATGGGAAGTGAGGATAGTGTGTCTCATGCTTGCAGCAAATTAGTTTGTGTATGTTTTCTTTCTAGTGCACATGACTTTCAATTTGGATGGTGTACAGATTATGAACTTCACAAGCAATGCTTCTATTTGTGCCAATTTCCTTTCATTGTATTTTGGATAGTGGTTTCTGGGTTTCTGTCATTTTGTATTTAGTAATTATATTTAATTTTTAGCATTTAATAATTGATTAGTTTGTCTGGGAGCTTTGGTCTATATTAATTTCAAGGATGAAACACATCGACATGAGTTTTGCATAAATACTACGGAGTATGTTTTTAATACTTGTAAGTATAACACGATTGAATTTGCATCCCTGTAAATATTGTTTTTCATTCATTCAATAAACATTACTGTCTTTTTAGTCTCTATTTAATTCATTAATTGTGGATTCTATTTCAAGGACTAAAAAGAGGTATCATATACTCGCTCTAAATATAGAAACGTATAAATAATTTAGTTTGAAGGAATTCGAATAATTTTTTAAGCACTCTAAATATAGCATTTTTTATTTTAGATTACTGCAAAATATTTTTTTTCTCAATTTCTGAATATATATTTTTTTTTTAATTTCTTTTCTCTCTAAATTCAGAATAATCTCCGTTTAAAAATAGAAAGTAAAATGCATAGATCTAGTTTAAATCTAACTTTAAATTAGGGCAGAGCTAGGAAGACTATTTTCATCGAAAAAATCTATTTGTATTTGTTTGTAAACATTTTTCTACAGAGTCTTACAGTCTATACATAGATAATTAAATGTATGAAATTGTGGGCGGGGCGTACATGCCCCGGCTGTACATAAAGAAGTACTCATTTTCATAGTACATTTATGTACGCAAAAACTCCTTTTAGATTTAGATAAATCTAATGTACGCAATATTGATAATTATCTCTCTGTTACTTCTTTGCCTATCTCCACAAGGAAAATTCTTGGTGTACACCTTCTTATACACATCAGTACATCCCATTGTCTGTGGAGAAAATTGTCCAACATAGGACTAAAACTCAACCTTTTTCTCAAAATAGGACCACATGCATGTTTTTCTCTAAATAGGTCTAACTTTACCTTTTTTACCCCTAATTCTATTTAATTAATTCATTGATCTAAATAATTCCTCCCCCCTAGTTTCCTTGCACAACCAAGGCAGTCCGTCGGTGGCGGGGCAGTCCGTGGTGGCGGCAGCACTCCGACAGCGGCCGGCAGCGGATTCCGGCGGCGGCGGCAACTCCGGCAATTAATCCCCCCCCCAGTTCTCTTGCACAACCAAGGCAGTTCGTTGGTAGCGGGGCAGTCCGGAGGTGGCGGCAGCGGAAGAGGCGGTTTCCGGCGGCGGCGGCAGGTGGCGGCAGAATGTTGGCAAACCTCCAGAAAAAAATCTGGAATTTTTCCGGCGGCGGCCGGCGGCAGGCGGCGGTCCGACAGTCCCTGGGCAGCAGTGGTAAAGGTTGTGAGGGGTATTTTGGTCCAAGCACTAATAAAAAGTCCTATATAAGGATGTTTAAACTAGATACTCCTATTTTGAGAAAAAGGGCATGTTTTGATCCTATTAAGGTAAATTTCCCTTGTCTGTGAGAGTTTTTTTTGTTTGTGAATGTCAGTTCACAGACAAAACTGGCTTGTTTTGTCTGTAGAATTTTCCACAGACAAAACAAGCCAGATTTTGTCTGTGAACTGGCATTCACAGACAAAAAAAAATTCTCACAGGCAATGGGGTGTAATGACGTGTATAAAAACGTGTACAAAATGAATTTTTGTCTCAACAAAGATAAAGCATCACGCCTGGATTGTGTCGTCCTATCTACGATGAGACCACTGATTTTTCTGATCCGACACTTCGACCCCATATTTTCGAGTCATGCCCCTCTCCAACAAAAAAAATAATTAAACCCCATCTTTTTTTTCTCCCTACCCCACCATTTCCCCATCTCACTCTATCTCTCTCCTAATGGAGAACTCCAGTAATTGGAGAGGAGCTAAATTCCATATTTTCTCCCTCTCACCCAACATCAATTTCTTTCGCCAAAAATAGAGAAGCCATGCCTGTTAGTGCCTATATTATGAAACTATATGCTTCTTATTTAACTTTAATAGTGCATTTTCTCTAGTGAATGATTGGATTTAAGAAAACCAAACAATATCTAGATTGTAAATAAAATATTACTTTTTGTAACAATAAGAAATATACAAGTGTAATGAAGTCATAAAACTTAAGAAGTAAAGGTTATGGAACACCAAACGTGCAATAGTACTTTAACCAAAGCAACATATGATATTATCATGGAATTACGGCTTTCTTGGTAGTTCATGCACTTCTGGCTTTTGCGGAGTTGGAATTTCAGGCCCTGGCATGATTGGAATCATCACTTTCTGGATTCCAGGCTGTTCTGGTTTTGGGAATGTTGGCATCTCTCGTTTCGGAATTTTTGGCAACACCGGTTTTTGAAATTCAGGTATTTCCGGCTTAGGAAATTCAGGGGCTTCGAGTTCAGGACCAGGCAGCTGGGGTAAATAAGGAATCTCCATAAGGATACGCGCCTTTACGTGAATCTTGTTTGTGTGGACTGATGACAATGTGATCATCAGGAAACACAAGAAGAAAGGGGCAAGGTTAAATGGTTGAGACATTTCTTATGGGGTGAAGGTTGATGTCTTTAGCATGTAAGACAATAATAAGTTTATATATAGAAGACCTAATGAGTTATTAGTTCACTGCCCTCTTATGAAGTTATTTATGTAACCACCCTTATATCAATCTTTAAGGCAGGCTTTTCTTGCTTTTTAAACCATGACATAAGTAATGCCTTCCAATTAGCTACCTAAACACCACCTACCATTACCATTTCAGTCCTTTAATTAAACTGATCTTCCTAACTGATACCAAGTAATGCTTATGGGTACATGCTAATAAGTTGAAGAGTCAAGGACAATGGATACCAAGAGGGTGTTTGTTTCACCTTAATATAGCGCACGAAAAAAGAGGAATTGGGAGCGAAGTCAACTCCAGAATTCCCGGTTTTGAACACAGTAATGGTTGTCCAAACTAGAGCTGTTCTTGTTAAGCTTTAAAGTCCATTTTTCGAATGTACAATCAACAAAGTCATAGTATCCCCCATGGACTAAAAGCTCCCCAGTCATCACCTTCTTCTTTATCCATGGGTATGTCAGCAAGTTCTGTAGTGAGAGGTCGAGTGATTCCTGGAAGGAGAATAACCAACTGACTATTTTACCCTCTCCCAAAACAAGATCTAAAAAAGGAGTATATTTTGCAGGGTTGTAAAGAAAAATGTGCACCTTCTCACAGTGCCTGCACTGATGGTCGAAACTAAGTTTGGAGGCAATGGATTTGGTGTGAGATCTTGCTGTTTTTCCAACAATGACCCAATTATGAAGAAAGCTACTGCAATGCAAACCAAAACTGATTTAAACATATAATGGTAGTAGCTACACTGAAAACTGGCTAAAGGAAGAAGGAGGCATTATTGGACAAACCTGGAGTCTATCTCATCATCAATGCTCATTAAAGTTTGAATGCCCCCACAACAGCTATGTCCAATCACTAGTATATTCTCCACCTGCAGATTGAGCTTGCGCAAAACTTGAAAGATATGAGCAACTAGGGTGGGCATGGGTGGGGTTCAGGTTCAACCCGAGCCCTTACTAGGAACACAGAAAAAATCAGGTGCCAACTTTAGGACCTGAACCCGAATGTAAATAAATTAGTTTCTGGTGCATTTTAGTTTCAGTGTTTTTTATCGGGTTTCATGGAGTTCGGTCGAAGTTAAAATTTACTAACAAAATGATGAAATTTGTATCTTACACAAATAAATACATTTCCATCAAGGCATCAAAGCAAGTTGAATTATCTACTTGATATAAAAAAAATATTATGCAAACACATATAATGAAGTATCTGCAGCAAAATCAAATTATAAATACTTCTTCCCATATACAAGTATATATTATGTATTTCTCAGAAAAAAATCTCTGGCTTCAAACTTGAAAGTCCAGCGTAGTCAATAGGACGAACTAGGTTGCCAAATTCTTGCGCTTCTCTTTCTCGCTTTTGATTATTTCAGTTTGTACATCAAAACATATATCAATTCCATTCCAAGCACAAAAGATTTAAACCAGCCAAGTTAATCGAATAGAGTTGATTCTCTACTAGTAATATTTTACTTTTTATTTGTACTGAACAATTATATATCTCATTGCAAAAGTCAAATTTGAAAATGGCAAACATTGATACACAAAATTAGAGAATAAAAAGGTATGTGAAGCCAGAAAAATATTTTTGCATATCGCTTTGGTATAGACGAGTACTTCGCTACTACAGATTCGAGTAATATAGAGGATCAGGCAAAACAGCAAAATTGACTCACACCAAGTGTGTTGACTGAGAAGTCAAGAGCAGCGTTTACTTCTGAAGGTCCATTCTGCAGCAACATCATAACTATACTCATAGTCTCATACGTAATAATTAAATCATAAGTGTAATTTATGATTTGATTTATTATGCATAAAAAAGATGAGTATTTACTGCACTAAGGGATATTCTTTACCACGCAAGGAGGCACCAAATTTGCAATGTTGCGAATTACAAACGCTTCTCCTGGTTGAAATCCCAGGATTATTGAAGGACAAACCCGAGAATCTGCACAAGCAATCACCATGAACTGTCCTTCAAACACAAAGGAATTTTCATTATCACATACTGCAGGATTTATTATTCAATCAAACAAGCATATACTAAGTATTTGATAATCAAATTGTATTAAGACTTATGGCTTCTAGTCAAGAAATAGTCCACCACTGTATGTTTGTTTGTAAACTTTTTCGTGTGAAATTTATGTGTATATTTATTGTGTACATTCTTAATTGACATGTATTCAGTGGTGATGAAAAACTGAATTACCTGTGATTGCCTAATCAACACATGTCAACTAAAAATGTACCATTAAAACTATTGAAAATTTATATTAATGGATTGCTTATCCAGCCCTCCTCTAATTAAAAAAATGTGGTTGGGATGCAACATTGTTTTAGGACCTTTCCACTTTGACTGAATTCAACCCTAAAACCAAAATAACACAAATTTTAATAGATCAAATCAAACCAAATTCGATAAGAAATACATTAAATAATATTGAAGTACACAAAATATCAAACCAAACAAGAAGATGTCATACTTGAAATGTTCACTAGATCAAAGCAAACTCAAATAGATTAGATTAGACTAATTCAAATTAGTAAACCTCACTCAAATGAAAAGTTCCTTGGACATAGAAGAAATCTCCCAAAACAAGAAGCAGAAGTGGATATCCTTCCTACCTTTGGTGCTTGAGCATTTGCAAGGTCTCTAAAGTGTTCAAGATTGGCCCTATTTCAAGAAAAGAAAGGAATAATCATATTTTGGGCACCCATACTGCTAAACATGAAGGAACAGATTAGGATTTAGAAATGCATTTTATACAAGTATTTATCCTTCTTGAAGTTCAAAAAACGATCTTTCATCTTAGTGAAGAAGACTCCAGAAGCACCCTGAGTTAACATAGTGCCTTTATGTTCACCACAATCTGTTTCCAGAGTCTGACTCTTAGGACCCTTCAAGGATTTCAATCTTAAAGTCGGACTATTCCTCCATCTCAGTAAAGCTAATTTGCTCAGATAAGGTCTCGAATAAGGCATGAATGCATGGCGTGTGTAAAGTGTAAACAATGAAAATTAACAATCAAGCCTTGATCTTTAGGCTACTTTTAAACCTTATCCAGTTATCCATATACATTTGACAACCATCAACTGACGTGGCAGATCACAGATGTACCTATTTTCCACAGAATCTAATAAAAACAACAAATTAGCAACAACAACCAAACGTGACATAGAGTAAAAAAAAAAACGTGACATAATTAATTATCTACCGCAGTTGGAAGGGCTATGTGTAAAAGAACCCAATTATAGTTAAAAAAAATGGCTCAAACGAGAGTAAACCATCAAAAAAATTCTTAAAATGTACTCGGTAACTTATTAGTTAGTCCTATTAAAAGTAAAATAATAAGAATTTTTCAAAACTAGAATCACGTTTTAGGAAGAGAAAAAATGGAAGGAAACTATGATATGTTTTATTTGTTTAAGAAATTTTCCTTCAAAAGTTTAATGATGGGGCGTCACTCCTGAGCATAGTTAAAAAATAACCATATGTATGGTAGGCGACGACTATTAGAAAAAAATACCTTTCAATTCCAAATTATTATTCTTTTAACAATAAGAATCTATACCTTCTGAAAAAATGTTTAAAAACATGTCTTGTTCTTTACCAGCTTTTGGTACATTTTTTGGTAATGTTACCTTCTTAGAAATTTAAGCAGATTATAAATAAAAGATGCGTAGTAAATCTTTACAAGCTAGAAGGGTCATCTTGTATTTAGACTTAAGAGCAAACTCAGTCAAATTATTGATGTAACCACACATATATTAATCCGAAATTTTTAAAATACACGTCATGTGCTTCACGTACTCCATATATTTGAAACGGTTCCACGGCTCCACCCAATATTTATTAATGGCATCATTTGTAGTTTTGCACTTCTTGCCAATTGCCATAGTAAAAATTGCACGGTTCCCACTTCAAAACAATTAATAACACCATCAAATTATTCCATCAAAATAACATCATCAAATTACTATGTATTATTCCGAAAATTAAAATAAAATAGAGTTTACCCAAATAAAAAACAAGATCTTTTCGGTGGAGAAAATGAAAGCAAGTTAATCACGTGTCTTGGCTGCACACCACAACACTTGTGAAAGAAGGAAAGAATTGTATGATGCAGAAAACTGGAAAACTGGAAAACAGAAAACAGGAAACGTGTTTACCAAATAAATTGCTAGAAAACTAGAGAAAGGAAAAAAGAAAAACGCGTTTACCAAATCGTTTTCCAAAAAGAAAAAAATGAGACATGTCTCACTTTCCTTAATGATTTGGAGAAGTGACTTTTACTAGTTTTCCAAATTTGGAAAACGCATATACTACAGTGCCGCTGTAATGAATTTGCATACTTACACCTAGTGGTGGGTCCGGTCCCGCTCGGTATCGATTCCATTCTGGTACATCAATCCTCGTACCTTACCCCTACCTACCCTACCCACCCTAACCCCACCCCGTGTACCCATTTTTCCCTATAATGACCCTATCTCACCCCCTACCACATACCCCTACCTCGGCCCCACCCCGATCCACCCTATCCTACCGCCACCCCCCTACCACCTCGACCCCACCCCGACCCACCCTACCTTACCCCCACCCCTCATATATTAACCCTCACCCCTACCTTACCCCTTACTACATGTCCCCTACCTCGGCCCCACCGCCATCCTACCCCCACCCTTCCGCCATCCTACCCCCCACCACCATATTACCCCCCACCCTGCCCTTCCCCTACCTCGGGCCCACCCTACCGCCATCCTATCCCAACTCCCTACCCTACCCCTACCTTACCCCAACCCCAACCCTACCCAATACCCCCACCCTTACCGCCATCCTACCCCCCACCCTACCCCTTCCCCACCTCGGGCCCACCTTGGTCCCGGCCCCACCCTACCGCCATCCTGTCCCAACTCCCTACCCTACCTCACCCCAACCCTACCCACTACCGAAACCCTACCCCTAACCACGACCCTAACCCTCTACCCCCACCCAACCCCCTACCCCTAGACCTTACCACCCCACCCCGACCATACCCCTTACCCCACCCCCACCCATAACTTCCCTACCCCGACCCCTACGAATAGGTATGGGTGGGTATGAAGGGTTGTGGGGGAGTATGGGTAGAGTGTAAGATCGTGGTAAGGGTAGGGTCAAGGGTGTGGAATTGGAGAACTGGGTGAAAATTTTGATGAACATGTTTTCAGATTTGAAAATGGAAAACTAAAAAATAGAAACAGAAAATTGGAGATAGAAAAACTGAAAAATAAAAACAGAAAATGGGAGAACGAAAAACAGAAGTAGAAAACAGGAAAATATCTCTGTTAGTAAACAGGCCCATAAAAATCCCCTATATTTGTGTATGTAAGCAATAAAAATCCCCTCTTTCTATCATTCATTGCATCAAAACCCCAAATACATGGGGGCTAAAAGGATGAGAGGTTCTAACTTCTAAGGCTCTCGAAGTGAATTTACTGGCAAAAAGACGGCAAAGGGAAGACTTCCCGGCCATTATATATGCACGAATGACCTTCCAGCAACATCTTCATGAAATCCCCTCTTTCTATCTATTTGTGTATGTAAGCAATAAAAATCCCCTCTTTCTATCATTCATTGCATCAAAACCCCAAATACTTGGGGGCTAAAAAGATGAGAGGTTCTAACTTCTAAGGCTCTCGAAGTGAATTTACTGGTAAAAAGACGGCGAAGGAAGACTTCCCGCCATTATATATGCACGAATGACCTTCCAGCAACATCTTCATGAAAGCTTGCGTATCTGTCATTGTGTGCATTAAATTGGAGGAGTCTTCTTCCGCACATGACTCTAAACTAGGCTTCATATGTTCCAACGCTTCCCCATAATGCTTCATCATATAAATGCTGACCTTAGAAATGATAAACACAAAAACAAGAACAACAAGAAATGCTTCATCATACAACTATTATTTGTACAATCTTAATTATGCTCAATTTTCAAGCAGAACAACATACCCAAATCAAATACTTCTTGCCATAGTCAAAGATTCACTTCACTTTGGGAAACCCATTTTCATTTTGCTTCTTTTATGTCTTTATTCTGCTGTTTCAATGAGCTTATCCTATTATAACCAATGTTGACATGAGAACATTGTGGACATAGTAATGGCAGAGAAAATGAAAACACTTATTTTTCTTTATAATTCTTCTATTCTCAAACTAAAATTTTTAAACAACTTATAGGGAGTAGAACAATCTAAAGACAGATAACTTTGGAACAGAAAGGGGATATGTTAAGATCCGGGGATTAGGGGGATATAAACATATAATTAAGGAATCTGGAATTTGAAGTTCATGCTTGCAAGAAGTGTGTTTTTTCTCCTACCAGGGTACCACAAAGGAAGTAACAAACAAAACCAAACACAAGAAACTGTATTTAGTGAAGAAAAAACAAATTATTTTTATAATTTAGGAAATATAAATCGAACACAAAAAGGAGTGTAACTTTACGAGCAAGGTCTTATTAGCAGGGTCTTACCATAGAGCTTCCTCTATGCAATCTTAAAGATGAGCTTCTCTTTCACAACAATGGTTAGGATGGTGGCAAGACACTTTTATATGAGACCTTATTAAAGCAGCCGGCCTGATCAACGAGGGGAGCGAAATCGAATCTTAGAATTCAGCTTTGCCTTTACCATGATGAACTATTTTGCGATTAGAAGGACCTGTCGGAGACCAAGCTTGGTGGTGCTGGGTCAAAGATTGGTGACTAGCGATTTCGGTTGTTTCTGCACACATTCTGTTACTGGTTTTCGTTGAGTCGGCGGCTTCTGTGTGAAGAGACACGAAGCTCTTCAATATTTGGTTTTCCTAGCCGGTTTTAACCCGTACAGCCGCTGGAAGTACTTAGTTGGTCGGCACAGATGATGTAGATCAGAAAATAGATTCCGGTAGACAATATGGGTTCTCAAATGTTTGCAATGATTTTTTACGGAGAAACCATGCACTCGGACCTCTTTCTTTTTTGAAAGTTAAATGCATCGGCTGCCACGTGGACTTACGTGCATTTTAATGAGCACGCCACGGGCACATTAAAATCCCTGTATATTAATCTAAGGCAGACTTTTCTTGCTTCTCAAAACAGGACATACGTAGTATTCTTCCAATTAGTTACTAAAACAACACACAGTTACCAAGTAATCCTCCAAACAAATATCAACACACAGTTACCAAGTAATGTTATCATTGATGAAAATGTTTCATGAGTACATACAAATAAGTTGAAGAGTTGAATGACAATGGATACGAAGAAGGTGTTTGTTTCAGCTATATTTAGAAAAAGTAAGAAGAGGTATTGGCAGCAAAGTCAACTCCAGAATTCGCGGTTTTGAACACAGTAATGGTTGTCCAAACTTGAGCTGTTCTTGTTACGCTCTAAAGTCCATGTCTCAAATGTACAATTAACAAAGTCATAGTATCCCCCATGGACCAAAAGCTCCCCACTCACCACCTTCTTCTTTATCCATGGGTATGTCAGCAAGTTTTGCATTGAAAGGTGGAGTGATTCCTGGAAGTAGAGGAACCAACTGTCTATGTTACCCTCTCCGAAAACAAAATCTTAAAAAGGCGTAAAATTTGCAGGTTTGTAAAGAAAAATGTGCACCTTCTCACAGTGCCTGCACTGCTGATCAAAACTCAGTTTTGAGGCAATGGACTTCGTTTGAGATCTTGCAGTTTTTCCAACAATGACCCAATTATGAAGAAAGCTACTGCAATGCAAACCGTAACTGATCTAAACATATAAAGATAACTAGACTGAAAACTGGCAAAAGAAAGAAGGCACTATTGGACAAACCTCGAGTCCATCTTATCTTCAATGCTCATTAGAGTTTGAATGCCCCCACAACAGCTATGTCCGATCACTAGTATATTTTCCACCTGAAGAGTGAGCTTGTGTAAATGTTGAAGCATAAAAAAATACACGCAACTAGGGAGGGCATGGGTGGGGTTCAGGTTCAACACGAGCCATCTTTTAG